GGCTGAGTTCTTTATCTCTTCATTTGATGTTCTAGGGTTTCAGGATTGTTGATTCTCTGTTTGGCTTAGTTTTTCGGATCTTTGTTGTGGAGGGACAGCGTGGTGCTTCTGCCTAGACTGCCATCTTGCCGGAGTCCCGCCTGCAGCTAGTTTTTTGAGATAAGAAATGGATTCAAGAGTTCAGCATCAGTTAATTAGTGGTTACCAGGGACGGGCAAGAGGTAATGGTGATGGTTGAACAACATGATGAATATAATTAACGTCACTGAATTGTACATGTGAAGAATATTGAAATGACAAACTTTTGTTACATGTATATTTATCACAATTAAAAAACATTTCAGCCTTACCATATGGAGCTTACCTCACAAAGGACAAGTAGCAGATTCTTACACGCATTTTGGGTGTCCAGAACAAGTCAGAAACTGATGTTTGGATTTGGGCTGCATCCAATTCTTCCTGCTTGGTGGATCTCACAAACTTCAACAACAAAAACAACAAAAATCATTTATGAGATGCCAATAAAACACCAGGTATAGTGGTGAGTACTATATGCTGAGATAGACATGTTTCCTATCCTCAATGCATTTCTGTTTAATAGGAAACACAGGTCTTAAATAATCCATCTCACATGTGGACAGATACAAAAGGAGTAAGTCTATGAGAGCAGCTCCACTTAAGAGGAAGACTCTTCTTGGTATTAAAATCCTACTTAAATAAGTATGAGTTCCCATGCCAGCCCATGTCTTCATTTAATCAGGACTCTCAGGCGCTTATCCTTGAGTAATGACATCTCTTCTGGGGATACCTTGATTCTTTTTTTTTTTTTGTCACCTTCAGTGTATTCTTAATTTTTAGAACCACTGGGTAGTCCTTTATTTTAAGGTTCTTCTATAAGGTATCTAAAGAGGCCTGGTGACACAGTGGTTAAGTGCTTGGCGGCTTACCGAAAGGTAAGCAGTTCAAATTCACCAGTCGCTCCGTGGAAGAAAGATGTGGCAATCTGCTTCCATAAAGATTACAGACTTGGAAACCCTATGGGACAGTTCTACTCTGTCCAATAGGGTTGCTATGAGTCAGAATTGACTTGACGGCAATGGGATAAGGCATCTATTCTCTTCCAGGGCTGACATTGGGCTCCTATCAGTTGTTCCTCTGTCTTCACTGGTACACCCGAATGATGCCTGAAATACCTCTCTCCTCCTTTTTACCAGCTAACTCTTAATCCTTTCCTGGACCAGTAAACCTATAGGGGATGCTTCCTCTGTGTTCACCAGAGAACTCTGTGTACTTCTTGTCAGAGCACATATTCTGTATTATAATGGTCTCTTAATTTGTCTGTGTCTTACAGTAAAATGCAATTTTCCTAAGGGCAGGGACTCTGAATTATTGCTGTATTGATATCCAACACCAGTCTGAAGTAATGTAGATGAACAAGTATTTTTAAATAGATGAGTGAGAGTGAATGAATTAGGCACATCAGGATCTGGCTTCCGTGTGTAAGGTGGGAAACTTAGAAAAAGAAGGATGTCTAGGAGATTTTTGCCCTCATATACACTCTTGGTATGCTCTGTTGAGGGGAATATAAACCCTGTAAGAAAATAGATTTTTCTCTGGTTTACTGCCATATCTACAGTGTTTAAAATAGTACCTAACTTGCAATTTGTGTTCAATAAATATTTATTAAATGAAATGAATAAATAAACGTACAAATTCATGGAAGTACAAATCTTATTACTTTTATGCAGTCTTCTCCATCACCAATTGCCCTTCCTTTTAATGGCTTTCTTATTTCCCCTAAAAAGGTACTTAGGTTAGTGAAATTGCAAGAAATTAATGTGTTTCTGTTACTCCCCCCTACATATCTAGGGTAATAGCAATACCAATTTATGCAAACTACTCAGTGTACTTCAGATGCCAGTAAATTGCAATATCTATGTCCAAATCCTTGACAAAAGACATGACACATTTTTCAATGCTCCTGCTCCTTCAATAGTGACACCCATGGGGAACCAGGACAGTAATCTAAGAAGACTCCATTCACAGAACCCAGTTCTGGCCGGTATTCACCCCAGGGAGCCAGATTAATGTGTTTGTCAAGTCACATCTTCATTTCATCCCAGAAACCAGATCCCTTTCCAGATTACTGTCAAGTTTCAGGTCTCTCCAATATTCTTTTTTCCGTTTATGTGTGCAACTCTTTTGAGTTGCTTTAAGCCCTCATTCAAATTATTGGTGATAATCAGCCACCGAGCAGACTCCACCAGCCACCTGATCAAAGAAGAGAACACAGATGCAATGAAGTCTTCCCTCCTTTTTGCCACATAACATTTTACCTGAGATGCATTTTCCCTTTATTCTACTAAAACCAATGCTTGAGTTTCACTCTGGAATAGAAACTCATGCTCTCATTAGGCAAAACAAAACATAGGCAGTATATGGGGTATGGTTGGTAATGCAGGCTGTGCAGTCAGAGTTAGATTGCCCTACCTCTTACCCAAAGATGCATTTATCATGAAACTCATGGAGCTGGATCGCATAATTTGCATTCTCCTTCCAAAGCCCTAGCAAATTTGTACAAGTAATTTGTAATCTTTTTCTTAAAGAAAGCCTCCAAATTAGGTACACTTCAGCCATACAAATTGCAACTTGAGTCCTACCAGCTGTGTTGAAAACTTGCTACATTAGCAGGTTATTTAACCTGTGTCTGCTTCAGATTCACCACGTAGAAAATGGGGAAAGTAGTTCTATCTACCTTGTAGGGTTGTTATAAGGATAAAATGGAATAATGGATGAGCCTGATATGGATTACATCCTTCACTCTTGCTGAACTCATTTCACTGTATTAAATCTGTAATCATGTCTTTGTAGTAGAGTCATTCCTAACTACATCTGCATTTTCCATTGGAATTGTCTTCTTAAGGAGAGGAAGGTAGTTGCCCATCATTAAGTGTTCGCTAAAGTAATTAAAGGGAAGAGAGAATGATAAACAAATGGTGTAAATAATCCAGTCTCCCTGTGAAGCCTTAATATTGGAGAAAACATGTTCCTCTTCTTTCAAATAGTTATGGAGATAATTTTCTCCTTACCTTTTATCCAACCTCATCCAGAAAGACTAAAAGAACTCAAAACATCTCCATCAATGCTTTCCAAAGTTAAATAACTAATATAACACATTTGTTTTATGAATTACCCCAGTCTATGGTGTTTTCTGTTAAGAAAAATAACAATTATAATTCTGTGTTGACTATAAAGGCAAAGAGTTAACAACCATGACTAGTGAAAATCCACAGCCCCACAGGTAGAGGGTCACTCTACTCCTTCTTTTGTTTCTCCAGTGGCACAGCGGGTCCAGATAGGGGGCCATGGCTCAGGACCAACCCAGGGACCAAACAAACCCAACTGTCCTGATTCTCATGCCTGTTCTTATCACAGCTTCCATTAAGGCAAAGCAGGTGGAGATAATCCATACCCGGAGAACACAAAAAAGACAGATAAGGGTATAGACACAGTTAATTGCAGTGTGCGCCAGTCTGGAATGGCAAAAGCTAGTCCTGCCAGGAGTATCTGTCCGATACTGAAGGCACTGAATAACAGTGACATCTCCATGGCTTGGAACTGGAGTACTGTCCACTCTGACACTGGAAGAAAGCACAGGCATGATATTAATTTCAGACATAGGGCAATTTCAAGGCCAATTCAAGGCATGGAGGTAATGAAATGTCCAAATTATTGACTTACTAAGAATAAAAATGTTTGACAAGATAGTTGTGGCGGACAATCCTGCCAAGAAGCGTAGTGAGCAGTAAATGAGGAAGGTGGGAACAAAGGCTGTACAAGTCCCAAAGACAGTGAGCTGGAGGAAACAACATCTCAACATCAACTTATGCCCAAACCTAAAAAAATATCAAACACAAGATTATTTGGGAATAAAAATAATTTGTGGTAAACTTGATAAAAAGATGACTACCCGGAGTTAGCCAAACTTCAAGATTAAGGGCATAGTCCTTCAGATTGCCAAGTCTACCCAAGACTTCTGACACCATCTGCAAGGATCTAGAACTCAACTACATAGTTAGAATGTTCAACCTAAAAGCAAGAAGAGTCCATAGAAGACCATGATCACTCCTTTTTTTTTTTTTTCTGTAGGTTTTTTTTTAAAAAATGTTATTATTGTAGTTTAGATGAAGGTTTACAGAACAAACTAGCTTCTCACTAAACAATTAGTATACATATTGTTTTGTGACAATATGTCAATACCCTCCCCTTTTTGACCTCGGATTCCCTATTACCAGCTTTCCTGTCTCTCCTGTCTTCTAGTCTTTGCCCCTGGGCAGGTGTGCCCCTGTAGTCTTGTTTTGTTGTGTGGGCCTGTCTAATCTTTGGCTGAAGGGTGAACCTCAGGAGTGACGTCATTACTGAGCTAAAAGGGTGTCTGGGGGCCATACTCTTGGGGTTTCTCCAGTCTTTGTCAGGCCACTAAGTCTGGTCTTTTTCTGAGACCACCATCACTTCTGACAACAAATTCAAACTCAGGAGGATTTCCAAAAACCACCTTCAAGTTCAATAATTTGCTAGAAGAACCCATAGAATCCACCAAAACTCATCATAATCACAGTTACAGTTATTACAGGAAAAGGATACAAATTAGAACCAGCCAAAGGAAGAGACCCATAGGGCAGAGTCTTAGAGGGTTCCAAATATGAAGCTGTGCTTGTCCTCAGGGACATGGTACTGTCTCAGCATTAACATGTGACAATATGCATGGAGTATTGGCACTATGTATTGGCACTATGTGTCTGTCAGTTTGTTGTACAGTAGTGGCTTACATGTTGCTGTGATACTGGAAACTTTGTCACTGGTATTTCAAATACAGCAGGGTCACCTTTGGTGGAAAAGTATCAGCTGAGCTTCCAGATTAAGACAGATTAGGAAGAAGGATCTGGAAGTCTACTTCTGAAAAAATTGGCCAGCAAAAACCTTATGAATAGTAGTAGAACATTGTCTAATATTGTGCAGGAAGATAAGCCCCTCAGGTTGGAAGTCACTCAAAAGACAACTGGGGAAGAGCTGCCTCCTCAAAGTAGAGTTGACCTTAATGATGTGGATGGAATCAAGCTTTCAGGACCTTCATTTGCTGATGTGGCACGACTCAAAGTGAGAAGCAGCAGCTGCAAACATCCATTAATACTGGAAATGTGGAATATACAAAGTACGAATCTAGGAAAATTGAAAATTGTCAAAAATGAAATGGAACACATAAACATCAATATCCTAGGCAACAGTGAGCTGAAACGGACTGATATTGGCCATTTTGAATCAGAAAATCATATGGGCTACTATGCTAGGAATGACAAATTGAAAAGCAAGGGCGTCGAATTCATCTTCAAAAAGAACATTGCAAGATTTATCCTGAAGTACAATGTTGTCAGTGATAGGATAATATCCATATACCTACAAGGAAGACCAGTTAATACAACTATTATTCAAATTTACACACCAACCACTAAGGCCAAAGATGAAAAAATTGAGGATTTTTAACAACTTCTGCAGTCTGAAATTGACCAAACATGCAGTAAAGATGCATTCTTAATTACTGGTGATTGGAATGCAAAAGATGGAAACAAAGAAAAAGGCTTGGTAGTTGGAAAATATAGTCTTGGTGATAGAAACGATGCTGGAGATTGCATGATAGAATTTTGCAAGGCCAATGACTTCTTCATTGCAAATATCTTTTGAACAACCTAAATGCTGACTATACACGTGGACCTTGCCAGACGGAATACACAGGAATCAAATCAACTACATCTGTGGAAAGAGGCAATGGAAAAGCTCAATGTCATCAGTCAGAAAAAGGCCAGGGGCTGACTTCAGAACAGACCATCACTTGCTGATATGCAAGTTGAAGTTGAAGGAAATTAGAACAAGTCCACAAAAGCCAAAGTACTACCTGGAGTATATACCACCTGAGTTTGGAGACTATCTCAAGAATAGATTTGATGAATTGAATGCCACCAATTGAAGACCAGATGAATTGTGGCAATACATCAAGGACTTATACATGAAGAAAGCAAGATGTCATTAAAAAGACAGGAAAGAAAGAAAAGACCAAAACAGATGTCAGAAGAGACTCTGAAAGTTGCTCTTGAATGTAGAGTAGCGAAAGTGAAATGGAAGAAATAATGAAGTAAAAGAGCTGAACAGAAGATTTCAAAGGATGACTCGAAAAGACAAAGTAAAACATTACAATGAAATGTGCAAAGATCTGGAGATAGAAAACCAAAAGGGAAGAATATGCTCAGCATTTCTCAAGCCGAAAGAACTGAAGAGAAAGTTCAAGCCTTGAGTTGCAATGTTTGAAGGATTCTACAGGGAAAATATTACATGATGCAGGAAGTATCAAAAGAAGATGGAAGAAATACACAGAGTTACTGTACCAAAAAGAATTGGTCAACATTCGACCATTTCAGGAGGTAGCATATAATCAGGAACTGATGGTACTGAAGGAAGAAGTCCAAGCTGCACTGAAGGCATTGGTGAAAAACAAGGCTACAGGAACTTATGGAATATCATTTGAGATGTTTTAACAAACATGCAGTGCCAGAGGTGCTCATTAGTCTATGCCAAAAAATTTGGAAGACAGCTACCTGGCCAACCGACTGGAAGAGATCCATATCGGTACCCATTCCAAAGAAAGGAGATCCAACAGAGTGTGGAAATTATTGAACTATATCATTAATATCATGCACAAGTTAAATTTTGCTGAAGATCATTCAAAAGTGGTTGCAGCAGAACATTGACAGAGAACTGCCAGAAATTCAAGCTGGATTCAGAAGAGGACGTGGAACAAGAATTATTATTGCTGGCGTCGGATGTATCCTGGCTGAAAGCAGAGAATACCAGAAAGATATTTACCTGTGTTTTATTGATTATGCAAAGGAATTCATCTCCATGGATCATAACAAATTATGGATAATATTGCAAAGAATGGGAATTCCAGAACACTTAATTGTGCTCATATGAAACCTGTACTTAGACCAAGAGGCAGTCACTCAAACAGACCAAGGGGATACTGCGTGGTATAAAGTCAGGAAAGGTGTGCATCAGGGTTCTATCCTGTCACTGTACTTATTCAATCTGTATGCTGAACAAATAATCCGAGAAGCTGGACTACATGAGGAAGAATGTGACATCAGGATTGGAGGAAGATTCATTAACAACCTTTGATATTCAGATGACACAACTTCGCTTGATAGAAGTAAAAAGGGTTGAAGCACTTAACTGATGAAGATCAAAGACCACAGCCTTCAGTGTGGATTACACCTCAACATAAAGGTAACAAAAATCCTTACAACTGGACCAATAAGCACCATCATGATAGACAGAGAAAAGATTGAAGTAGTCAAGGATTTCATTTTACTCGGATCCTCAATCAATGCCCATGGAAGCAGCAGTCAGGAAATCAAAAGACGCATTGCATTGGGCAAATCTGCTGCACAAGACCTCTTGAAAGTGTTGAAAAGCAAAGATGTCACCTTGAAGACTAAGGTGCACCTGACCCAAGCTGTGATCCTTTCAATTGTCTCATATGCATGTGAAAGTTCGACAATGAATAAGGAAGACTGAAGTAGAATTGAGGCCTTTGAATTATGGTGTTGGCAAAGAGTATTGAATGGACTACCAGAGGAATGAACATCTGTCTTGGAGGAAGTACAGCCAGAATGCTCTTCAGAAGCTAGGATGCTGAGACTTCATCTTACATACTTTGGACATGTTATCAGGAGGAATCAGTCCTAGGACATCATGCTTGGTAGAGTAGAGGGTCAGCGAAAAAGAGGAAGACCCTTAATGAGATGGATTGACACAGTGGCTGCAACAATGGGCTCAAGAATAACAAGGATTTAAGGATGGCGTAGGACTGGACAACATTTCATTCTGTTGTATATAGAATCATTATGAGTTGGAACTGACTTGACAGGACCTAACAACAACACCATTGCTAAAAAATGCAAACCATCATCTGAGCCTTCAGTGAGTCATAATCTTTTTCTGGTGGAGGGTCTTGCTTTGATGTTGATGGCTGCTGACTGATCAGGGTGGTGGTTGCTGAAGGTTGGGGTGGCTGTGGCAATTTTTTGAAACAAGACAGCAATGAGATTTGCTGCATCAATAAAATCTTCCTTTCACAAATCATTTCTCTGTAGCATGCAATGCAGTTTGATAGCATTTTACCCACTGTAGAACTTCTTTCAAAATTGGAGTCAATCATCTCAAATCCTGCCACAGCTTTATCAACTAAGTTTATGTAATATTCTAAATCCTTTGTTGTCACTTCAACAATGTTCACAGCATCTTCACCAGGAGTAGATTCCATCTCGAGAAACCACTTTGCTCACCCGTAAGAAGCAACTCCTCCTCCATTAAAGTTTTATCATGAGATTGCAGCAATTCAGTCATATCTTCAGGCTCACTTCTAGTTCTCTTGCTATTTCCATCATATCTGCAGTTACTTACTCCACTAAAGTCTTGAACGTCTCTAAGTCATCCATGAGGGTTGAAGTCAATTTCTTTTAAACTCCTGTTAATGTTGACATTTTGACCTCCTCCCATGAATCACGAATGTTCTTAATGGCGTCGAGAATGGTGAATTCTTCATTAAGGTTTTCGATTTACTTTGCCCAGATCCATCAGAGGAATCACTATCTATGGAAGCCTTGAGAAATGTATTTCTTAAATAATAAGACTTGAAAGTCAGAATTACTGCTTGATCCATGGGCTGCAGAATGGATGTTGTGCTGTTGTTTTTAGGTGCTGTTGAGTTGATTCTGACTCATAGTGACCCCATGTACAACAGAATGAAACACTGCCCAGTCCTGTGCCATCCTTACGATTGAGTCCATTGTTGCAACCACTGTATCAGTCCATCTCATTAAGGGTCTTCCTCTTTTTCACTGACTTCCACTTTACCAAGTGTGATGTCCTTCTTTGGGGACTGGTCCCTCCTGAAAACATGTCCAAAATATGTGAGATAATGTCTTGCTATCCTAGCTTCTAAGGAGCATTCTGGTTGTACTTCTTCCAAGAAGAAGTTGTGTTAGCAGGCATGAAAACAACATTAATCTCTTTGTACATGTCCAGGTGCATTGTCAATGAGCAGTAATATTTTGAAAGGAATCTTTTGTTCTGAGCAGTAGGTCTTAAAATATTCAGTAAACCATGTTGTAAACAGATGTGCTGTCAACCAAGCTTTGTTGTTCCACTTACAGAGCACAGGTAGAGTACATTTAGCATAATTCTTAAGGGCCCTAGGATTTTCAGAATGGTAAATGAGCATCGGCTTCAACTTAAAGTCACCAGCTGCATTAGCCCCTAACAAAAGAGTCATCCTGTCCTTTGCGGCTTTGAAGCTAGGCATTGGCTTCTCCTCTCTAGCTATGAAAGTCCTAGATGGCTTCTTCTTCTCATAGAAGGCTGTTTTGTTTACATTGAAAGTTTGTTGTTTAGCGCAGCCACCTTCATCAATTATCTTAGCTAGATCTTCCACATCAGCATTTACTGCTTCACCTTGCACTTTTATGTTCTGGAGACAGCTTCTTTCCTTAAACCTCGTGAACCAATCTCTGCTAGCTTCAAACTTTTCTTCTGCAGCTTCCTCACCTCTCTCAGCCTTTATAGAATTGGAGAGAGTTAGGACCTTGCTTTGGATTAGGTATGGGATTAAGGGAATGTTGTGGCTGGTATGGTCTTCTATCAAGACCACTAAAACTTTCTCCATATCAGCAGTAAGGCTGTTTTGTTTTCTTATCATTCGTGTGTTCACTGGAGTAGCACTTTTAATTTCCTTCAAGAACTTTTCCTTTGCATTCACAGCTTGGCTGTTTGGCACAAGAGGCCTAGCCTACAGCCTGTCTTGGCTTTCGACACGTCTTCCTCACTAAGCTCAATCATTTCTAGCTTTTGATTTAAAGTGAGAGACATGTGACTCTTCCTTTCACTGGAACACTTAGAGGCCATTCTAGGGTTATTAACTGGCCTAATTTCAATAGTGTTGTGTCTCAGGGAAGAGGGAGGCCTGAAGAGAGGAAAGGAGATGGGGGAATGGCCGTGAGTGGAGCAGTCAGGACACACACAACATTTATCGATTAAGTTTGCCGTCTTATATGGGCGGGGTTTGTGGTGCCCCAAAACAATTACACTAGTAACAGCAAAGATCACTGATCACAGATAACCATAACAGATATAATAATAATGAAAAAGTTTGAAATATTTCGAGAATTACCAAAATGTGACACAGAGACACAAAGTGAGCATACGCTGTTGGAAAAATGGTGCTGATAGACTTGCTTGATGTCGGGTAGCCAAAAACCTTCAATTTGTAACAAACCCAATATCTGTGAAGAGCAATAAAGAGAAATGCAATAAAATGAGGTAGGCCTGTACTGAAACGGTGGGAAGGCACAGATGGGTCCAAAGGGAGTGATAAATAAAATTTGGGTGGATTTGAAATCTGAAAAAGAAAGAAATCAAAGCTGGGAAGCTGAAATAACTGGGTGAGAGAATGCCGGCCCCAGTCATAAGAATGTATAAGAGACAATCATACGGTGAGGTATTCTTTAGGCATCACTTGGTATCACTGACCTCTATCTACATTTCTTCTCTAAGTGGTCCTTTCCCGTCTCATAGCTTTAAGAACTGTTTGAATTCGAATAAACGTCAAGTTTATGTCCCCAGGCTTGACCTCTCTCTTTACCTTCATATCTGTATATCCAACTATCTACCTGACAGTTCCATATGCGTGTCAGTAAGGACCTCCATCTCAGCAATTCCAAAACTGACATCTTGGTCTTCTCCACCAAATCTGCTTCTACCCTAGTGTTCTTCCATCTTGTACAGTGGCATCAGCATTTACCTTTTTGTTCAAGCCAAGCCCTGTATTCCTGGATTTATCTATTTATCTCACTAGCAATTCCCCAATATTAAAAAAAAAGAATTCTACCTCTAAAAAATTTCCAAAATCCAAATACATCTTATCATTTGTATAGATACCTCATTAATTTACACTCCCAGCATCTTTCCTCTGGACTGTTCAATAGCCTCCTAAATGGCTCTGCTACCACTCAATAGAGAAATAAGTATGACCTTTAAAGGTTCATGAGATAAAAATCCCATTAAAAAGACAAAAAGCTGGGAAATGTAGTGAGAGTAACTTAGGTGGGGCAACACTAGATAGGGAGTCATGGAAAAGGTCTTTGATGACATGCATGTGAACCTGAGTTATTAGGAGGCATGGACTGAGAAAGGATCAGGGAAAAGAGTATTAGGGACAGAAGCAAATGCAAATGCTCTGGAGTGGGAACTGACTTGAGGACTAGCAGGGAATAAGAGGGGGGTAGTAGGAGATAAGAAAGCAGTGAAGTGCGGCTAGATCTAGAGTCTGGAAGAACATAGTAAGAAACTTGAGCTTTATTCTAGGTGTAATGGAATACCATGCGGGTGTCATTAGCGTCCTGGCAAAAGAAAGAGGAAGTTAAAACTTGACAAAGCACAGATCAGCTCAGTATATGAAAAAACCGTGTAATATCAGCAACAGTTAAATATACAGCCTCAAAAGTTTTCTAACAGAAACCAGGAGATCATTTGTCAGCAACGTAGCGTAGGAGGTTCCTTCACTGGATAGGGGTTGAACTTGATAACTGCTGAAGCTCCTCTCCTAATTTAAGATCTAATAGGGTCACTTTACAAATCCAAGTCATGGGAGGATTGAAATCAATCTTCTCATAACTGATATCCTGGCCACCATTATTACCTCCCACTCATTCGTCTTCCTAACCCAACTGCTGCATCCCCCTCATTGTGATCTCTTTCTCTCTTATGAAAGGTTTTATTGAAGTTTAACACACATAAAGAAAGATGCTCACATCAAAAGTGTGAAATTATATTAATTTTTGCAAAGTGAATTAAACCATTTAACAAGTCCCCAGATAAAAAATAGAACATAACACAGGAAGTGCATCTTTGCCTCCTCCTAGCCACTGTTTCCACCAAAGATAACCATCATCATGTCTTTTAACACCACAAATTCAACTGCTTTTGATCTTTACAAAAAATGGAATCATGCAATATGTAATTATTGTGTCAGACATTTCTCCCTTACTATAATGCTTCTGAGATTCTTCACTGTTGTGACATGTAACAATAATTTGCTTTTTCTCATTGCTGAATACAAATGTATTATATGAATATACCACCATTTATTTATGTCATTTATTGTTGATGAGCATTAAGGTTATTTTTACTTGGAAGCTATTATGAATAGTTGCATGATCTTTTAAAAACGGATGAATTTCAAAATCCTAATTGTAATTCTAATTATCCACTCTCATCTCTTACAACTTCCCTTAGTCTTATCCGTGCTTCATCAAAACTTCTTTATCTGTAATTTTTCATTAAACTGCCATGTTACTTGAATAAGTACTATAGAAACTTGCGTCTGAAGACTGGGCAAAATAAATTCTCTGACCCAAAAATCTGTATAATATTTTACTGTGTAAGTCCAGAGGTCACAATTTTCAAGAAGACTACTAGATGACATTGAACTGGGGAACATTCAGGGCATTTGAATATTCAGGGCATCATGAGGGTACTCTTAGCACCCTCATGGGCAACATGCTTGGGAGAGAGCAATGACTGATTGCTTGCTCAAGAAGGAGCTCTTCCAGGAAATGAGAAGCCCCATATGTTTCATCCTCCAAGACATGTCAACTTATGCACTTACCATTATTACAAAAACTGCTTATTAAAGCCATTTCATCAGTATCAGCTTCCAGGTTACAGTTGTAATTTCTTACCATACCATCAGTGCCACATTGCTTCAGATCCTAAATATTTTAGAATGATGACTACGCATCACATACATTGTAGCTATTGAAATTATAACAAGTCTGAAGGTATTCTTAATCATTTAGCTTATAGGGCCTGGATGGTTCAGAACATGGTCAAGGTCAAAAACCTTGTTTCACAAATTTGCGCTTTCAAACATGCAGTACTTTCTGCCTTAAAACCCCTTTCTCCTCCTGCAACGAACTTACCTTACTCTAAACCTCATGTCCTGGAATCTACCCTGAAGATCCTTTCCTGAAATTTCTTTGAGCCTGATTTATATGTCCTTTATTTCTCCTGCTTCACACAGCACGCTGAATAGATTTATCATACCAAACTATAATTTCCGGTTTGTATATCAAGCACTCTTGTTAGATTGCAGCTCTTTGGAGGCAGAGGTTAGCACCTAGTACAGTGAAAAACACATGGTTAGAGTGCAACAAAGATTTCTTAAATGAACAGTGAATGTATCAATTGATAAACAACCCAGAGGAAATGGAAGTGACACTCACCTGTCTGAGAGATGACCATATATGAGTTTTCCCAACAATGATCCAGCCATGAATAGGAAGTGAGCCACTGATTTTAATGACTGAGATTCACAAACCAGGTCCCACTGGAAGGGAAGGAAAGCAGCAAAGCAGAGCTTAAGACGAGATTAGAACCTTTTAGTGGAAACTGACCACCAACTCCAAAACATGAATACAAGGTCCTCTGTTATGTGGGCCTTGACTGCTTATAGAGTTTCATCTCTACGTACTCTCCTCTGGCATCCTACACTCTAAATTTACTGGATTGATTTCATTCCTTCAAATGCAGCTAGTTGTCTCCCACTCATAACCTTCCAATAAACTATCCACACGTCTAGATATCTCTATCCATTCTCCTTAGACTCCCACTACATTTATTGCATTATCTTGTATACATCCTTAATATCCTATCCTAAATATGACTTTCTCTAGGAAACCTTCCCTGACTTTGTAGTTAACATCAGGAATCTGCCTTGGTCTTCATTTCTAATCCTTGATCACACACTGAATTACCCAAGGAGCTTTAAAAAATTCTGATGTCTAGATCCTATGCCCAAAGCTTTTGATTTAATTGATCTTGGGAGTGTGGTTTGGGCATCAGCTTGAGAATCACTAAGCGAGGATAGCATTTGCCACATAGCATTTCAATTACTTTTTTAAAAAATAGTATGTCTTTCTCACTAGAATAAAACGTATACGACGGCAGGGTTCATGTTTATATGTTCAATTCATTACCCTCAATACCAATGTAACTGCCTGGCATAAAGTAAATAAGTGATTAATGTCTGCTAAAGGAAGGAAGAAAGAGCTAACTACAGTACCCACCTAGAGAATAAATGTTTGACACACAATCATTCTTCGTCTTAACTCCAACCACCCATTTATATAAGCAGAAAATACAAATGGGACCTCTTACCTCTGTCACAATAGTGAAGTGGAAGGTACTTCGATCATGCATCCAGCCACCCACACAGGGCTCCGTGTTTAGCTCACTCATGATGGGGAAGGTCCCATTCAAATGAAGGAGCTGTCACTGGGGATGGAGGAAACGAAGACATTTCTCTGGTCTCAGGTTTGAGTCCAGTGGGACGGAGATTCTCAAGAGGGCATCAGGGCTGATGATCACAGCATCATTAGCAGAGACAGTGTCATTGTCGAGGATGTGGACCCAGCAGCAGTGATCAGGGATGGTGGCAGTGAAATTTTCCAATAGATTATGAGGATACAGTATCACCATGGAGACAAGAAGGAAAACCGTCTGAAGAATCTGAAATCTCCCCAGGCTTCCAACATGATCCAGGAGCTCCTCAAAGACCATTAAGGCTGAGTGAGTAGATCCTCCCAAAAGAGGTACAATGACTTTATGGAGATAAGCTCAAAGGGAAAAAGTGTTCACTGTCACTAAGTCAGTGTTGATCTTGATACTGGGCCTCACCTCACCACTATAACTGGGCAATAGAAGGAGTTTTCCCAAGTCCTTTTGGTATCAGGCAGGCAGAAAGTTTCAATAAAGTCACAGATATAACCACCTGGCAAAGAAACTTCCAAATGTACAAAATTAAATCTGCTTAGAGGCTTCTGAGAAGTCAACAGTGAACTTTCAGGCGGACCTACTCTCCACACAAACTAAAATACATCTACTCAATGATCTGCCATTCTCTTCAGAAAAGGAAAGTTTAGAGACTCAAATGTGAACTGCTTCATGATTTTCTAGTGTAAAGAACAGAGAGCAGGGCTTGTATTCGTTAGGACTAAATTTGGTTAAAAGAGTTCATGAAAACTATCCTGAGTTAAATTGAAGCAAAGTGGAATGTTGAGCGTAAACATTGACTTTTAGTAAGTTAATGTTTACCAGGACTTATGGGGATTTAAGTTTCTTGAAATGAAGAAATAGGAGTACTGGGCAGGGAGAGAGGATATGGAAAATTCGTGTAAGAGATTATTTCCCTGGATTTATTGATTCATTCAAATGGCATTTTTGAGTGTCTTTCCAATGCTACTGCTATAAAAAAGCAATGTGTAAACGAAGATCTCCAAAATGTTCAATAAGTAACATCATGATAAATGAAGAAAAGATTGAAGTTGTCAAGGATTTCATATTACCTGGATCCACAATCAACACCCATAGAAGCAGGAGTCAAGAAATCAAAAGACAGATTATATTGGACAAATCTGCTGCAAAAGACCTCTTTAAAGTGTTAAAAAGCAAATATATCACCTTGAAGACTAAGGTACGCCTGACCCAAGCCATGATGTTTTCAGTTGCATCATATGCATGTGAAAGCTGGACAATGAATAAGGAAGAACAAAGAATAACTGACACCTTTGAATTGTGGCGTTGTCGAAGAGTACTAAATATACCACAGAATGCCAAAAGAACAAACAAATTTGTCTTGGAAGAAGTGCGACCAGGACGCTCCTTAGAAGTAACGAATGTGAGACTCTGTCTCACATACTTTAGACATGTTAAATCAGGAGGAATCAGTCCCTGGAGAAGCATCAGCGAAAAAGAGGAAGACCCTTAATGAGATGTATTGACACAGTGGCTGCAACAATGGGCTCAAGCATAACAATGATTGTAGGATGGCGCAGGACAGAGAGAGCAGTGTTTCATTCTGTTGTATGTAGGGTTGCTATGATTTGAACTTGAAGGCACCTAACAGCAACAAACAACAACAACAGGTCTCTTTTAGTTTCTTGAAGTAGGGTTTTTCACTTTTCTTTTTATGTGATTTTTACTTCTCTGGTTAGATTTATTTCTACGTACTTTATCTCCTTGGGGGCTATTGTAAATGGTGCTGGTTTGCTGATTTCCTTTTTGAAGTTCTCTTTGTTGATGTCAAGGAATCCAAATGATTTTTGTATGTTAATCTATCGTGCTGCTTTGTTGAAATCTTCTATGCTTTTTAGTAGCTTTATTGTGGATTCTTTGGGGTTTTCTGTGTGTAAGATCATATCTTTTGTGATTAGGGATAATTTTACCTCTTCCTTACCAATTTGGATGCCTTTTACTTCTTTTTCTTGCCTTATTGCTCTAGCTGGGACTTCCAGCACGATGTTGAATAAGAGTTTTCATAAAGGGCATCTTCGTCTGGTTCCCTTCTCAGGGGGATGCTTTGAGAATGATGCTGGCTGTTGAGAATGCTGCTGGATGTTGGGTTTGTATAAATGTCCTTTATTATGCTGAGGAGTTTCTCTTCTATTCCTACCTTGCTGAGAGTTTCTATCAGGAATTGGTGTTGAACTTTGTCAAATATCTTTTCTGCGTTGATCGAGATAATCATGTGATTCTTTTGTTTTGTTTATGTGGTGGATTACATTCATTTTCTAATGTTGAACCATCCCTGCATACCTGGTAAAAATCCCACTTGGTCATGATGTATTATTTTTATTTTTTGATATGCTGTTGAATTCTATTGGCAAGAATTTTGTTGAGAATTTTCGTGTTTATGTTCATGAGGGACATTGGTCTGTTGTTTCCTTTTTTTGTAGTGTCTTTGCCTGGTATCAGGTTTATGCTGGTTTCATAGAATGAATTCAGGAATATTTGTTAATCTTCTATACTCTGAAACAGTTTAAGTAGTATTGATGTGAGCTCTTCTCTGAAAGATAGGTAGAATTCTCCCTTGAAACTGTCTGGGCTATGTCTTTTTTTTGTTGAGAGTTTTTTTTTTTTTTTAATTACCTCTTCAATCTCTTCTTTTTTATCATTCTGTTTAGTTTTTCTACCTCAGTTTGTGTTAGAGTAGGTAGGTAGCGTGTTTTTAGAAATTTATTCCATTTTCTCTAGGTTTTCAAATTTGTTGGAGTTCAATTTTTCGTAGTATTTTATTGTGATCCTTTTTATTTCAGTTGGGTCTGTTGTGATATCATGTGTCTCATTTCTTATTCAGGTTATTGGCTCCTCTCCTGTCTTTTCTTTTGTCAGTGTGGCCAGTGGTTTGTCAATTTTGTTTATCTTTTCAAAGAACAAACTTTTGCTCTTGTTGATTCTTTCTATTGTTTTTCTGCTCTCTATTTCATTTTTTTCTGTTCTAATCTATATTATTTCCTTTCTTCCGGTGCTGTGGGCTTCTTTTGCTGCTCTCTTTCTATGTGTTCAAGTTGTTGGGTTAATGTTTTGATTTTGACCCTTTCTTCTTTTCTGACGTATGCAGTTATTGCTATAAATTGACCTCTAAGCACTGCTTTTGCTGAGTCCCAAAGGTTTTGGTAAGATGTGTTTTCATTCTCATTTGATTCTATGGATTTTTTCATTCCATCCTTGATTTCTTCTATCACTCAGTAGTTTTTAAGCAAGGTGCAGTTCAGTTTTTATGTATTTGATTTTTTCCTTGCTATTTCTGTTATTGATTTCTACTTTTATGACATTATGATCAGAGAAGATGCTTTATATTATTTTGGTGTTTTGGATTTTGTTGAGGCTTGTTTGTGGCCTAAAATGTGGTCTATTCTGGAGAAAGTTCCACGTGCATTGGAAAAGACTGTATACTTTGCTGCTGTTGGGTAGAGTTTTCTGTGTATGTCTATGAGGTTGAGTTGGTTGATTATGGCATTAGATCTTCTGTATCTTTCTTCAGTTTCTTTCTAGATGTTCTCTACTTTGCTGAAAGTGGTGTGTTGAAGTCTGCTACTATTACTGTGGAGTTATTTCTCTTTTCAATGCTGTTAGAGTTTGTTTTATGTATTTCGAAGCTCTGTCATTGGGTGTGTATATATTTATTATGGTTGTGTCCTCCTGGTGTATTGACCCTTAATCATTATATAGTGTCCTTCCTTATCCTTTATGGTGGATTTTGCTATAAAGTCTATTTTATCAGAGATTCATATTGCCACTTCTGCTCTTTTTTGGTTATTGTTTGCTTGATATATATTTTTTCCATACTTTGAATTTTAGTTTGTTTATGTGTTTGTGTCTAAGGTGTGTCTCTTGTAGACAGCATATAGATGGACTGTGTTTTTTTTTTTTTAAATCCATTCTGCCACTCTCTATCTCTTTCCTGGAGCATTTAGGCCATTTGCATTCACTGTAATTAGTGATAGGTATAAGTTTACTGCTGTCATTTTGTTGTATTATTATTTTTTGTGTGGTGTTGATGGCTTGTTTTGCTTAATTTTCTATGCTGAGTTCTTTTTGTTTATGTATTTTCTTTTCATCTCTTTGATTATTGTTGATTTTGTGTTTGCTGAGTATGTTTTTCTTTTGATGGGTAGGTTTGTTAGCTTCCTTTGTGGTTGTCTTGAAATTTATCTTTATTTTTCTAAGGTTAAACCAGTTTTTTATTTCTTGATATTGCCTTGACTTCCTCCCTGTATGGAAGTTCTATGAGTACACTGTTATTCTTTCTTTTTTGATTTGACGTTGTCATGGTCTACATATTGATGTCTTCGGTTCTCTATTTTCAGTCTTTTAGTTTAGCTTTGTTTTTGTGAATTCCCTATCTGGGTTGGTATCTAGTTGATCTGTCCTGTATCCTAGTCTTGGATTGTTGTCAGATGTTGTTGGTTCTCTAACTGGAGGACTCACTTTAATATTTATTGTAATTTTGGTCTGGTATTTACAAATTCCCTTAATTTGTGTTTATGTGGAAATGACCTCATTTCACCACCTTATTTGAGAGACAGTTTAGCTGGATATATAATTCTTGGTTGGCAATTTTTTTCCCTCCATTCCATTGCCTTCTTGCCTGCATGGTTTCTGCTAAGTAATCGGTGCTTAGTCTTATTGGTTCTCTCTTGTAGGTGGCTTTTCATTTATCTGTATTCACTCTCAGGATTCTTTCTTTCTCCTTGGTTTTGGCAAATTTGATGATGATGTGTATTGGTGACTTTCTTTTGGGGCCTATCCTGCATGGGGTTCATTGAGCTTTTTGGATAAATATCTTCTCATCTTTCATGATATTAGGGAAGTTTACGGCCAGCAAATCTTCAACAATTCTGTGTT